TGTGATGGAATGAAGGATAAATCCAAAAAAAGTAGGTGTAATGGTGTATTATTTTTAAAATTATTGGGGGTATGATGGGAAGATTTAGAAATGGGAAGATATGAATGTTACATCCAAAAAAAGAAAGTGGGAAGATATGAATGTTACGGAGGGAGTATGAATTATTTGTGTCACACTAGATTGGTATCCAAAAATAAAGAGAAAATTTTATGAGTAAACTTGTTTTGAAATTTCAAAATAAAATTGTCAGTGTTTTAGTTCCCTATATAAACGTAATTAATACAAAATTTAGATTATATTGCTATGTTTAAAGTTTGATACTGTCAAAACATGACACTGACAGTAATTACTTACACTACAAAAAAACACGGGCGTAGTCACGGATTTAGTCACGGACTGCAGTGTAAAAATTCCGTGACTAAAAAGGTTAGTCACGGTCATCCGCCATGACTGAATCCGTGTCTTAATTGGCGTGACTAAATGAAGTCACCGCCACATAACCGTGACTAAATTTAGTCACGGATTAGTCACGGTCAAGGACCGTGACTATTTTCATGCCGGAAACCCCACTCCGACGTGTTAGTCACGGCTTGTGACCGTGACTATAATTTTTTTTTAAAAATAAATATTAGTCACGGCTGTGGGCCGTGACTAATTTTTCAAATTTTCAAAATTTTCAAAAGACCGCCCGCGGGTGTAATCTAAATTTTTGAAATTAGTCACGGTTGTCGACCGTGACTAAGCTTTTTTTTTTAAAAAAATGTTTTTTATTAAAAACAAATAATAATTTCGAATTAACTGTAGTCACGGATAAGGCCGTGACTACTATTTTTGTTTTTTTTTAAAAAAATTCCATTTTTTTTGAAAGTTGTTTTTAAAAATTACTTTTTAATACGTATTTTTACAAATTAAATTTAAAAATGTTATTATAATTTTTATCCATGTTTTTATACTATTGAGTTATTGAAAATATTATTCTAATTTTTTAAATTTAAAATTACATTTTAAAGAGTAAAGACATACAACAAACTTAATAAATATTGTGACAAACTTTTAAATGTTTTGACAAACAACAAAGTACGAATGTATGATGATTAGATGTCCCTTCGTGGGACTCCATTATGAAAAAAATTAGGATTTTCTTCTTCTTCTTCATCATCATCATCAACAAGAAACTCATCTGGGTTCACGGGGGGGTCTTCGGGGTCAGGTCGGGTTCCTCCTCGGGGTGCTCCCTGGGGTCCTCCTCGGGGTGCTCCTCGGGCTCCATGGCTCGGTGTGCCACTACCTCCTCCGGATGACCTCGCAAAATCAAAGGACATAGATCCGAAATTCGGGGAGATCATAGGCATGCCACCATATCCGGAGTTGGGGAAAAATCCCATACCGCCCATGTGCGGAACTTGAGGAGTTTGCTCAGGGTGGAATACGTACGGGGGAGGAAAAGGCTGTTGTGGAGGCTGGAATCCGGCACGCATGTACCGTTCCATCTCCTCCAACCGGGCTTTTGTGGCCTCGTCTGCTTTCCGCTGCTCCTCCCATCGCCGTTCGTGCTCCTCCAGTTCACGCTGCAGTGTAGCAATACGAGGATCTTCTCCCCGCCTTGACCGAGAAGAGGAAGCGTCGGTGCTTCGATCATACAAAATCCGTTGCCCCTCGGCCCCCAAGCACGGAACCCGGCCCTTGTAAACCCCGGCCGCCTCAATGGCCGCCTCATCATCCGCATCGGAATCGAGGTCGCCTTCCTGGGTCAAGCCTCGTGCCGCACGCTGCCTGTCAACGGATTCGTTGTACTTCGTCTGCATTTTCAAAAAATATTTTTTAAATGCTACATACTTAGATTTGATATGTTACTAAATAACAAAATATGATGCTGCATACTTCGAAGTCAGCGAGGCGGGGTGGCAGATCGGCTTCAGATTCCTCGCCGTGCTTCGTCCAGCAATGCTTGACGAGCCGGAGAACACCAACCCTCTTCTTCTCAGGACCAGCCTAAATGGTGTGAAAAAGACTTAAGTAAATTTTTTATAATGAAGGATTGTGATGGTGTAAGGTTTTTTGAATAGCACTTACAAGAGTTTCTTTATAGGCATTCTGAGATTTGCGACCCCCGTGCCACTGCATCTCCAAGGCCTTCTCGGACATCCGGTTTTTCTTACCGGATTCACTTCTGGCCAAGAATTTCGGATCAGAAGACCAGTGGCGACAAAGGTTGGACCACACTTCATCCAAAACCCATTTAGGCTTTTTCGAACTTTTTCGCGCACGTTTAAAAGTGGCGCGAAGCCAGGTCGAAATCCTAGCATTGTAGGCTTTAAGAATATCGGCACTGTTTGCGTGAGTCCAACGATAGCGACCCTTTATTAAAACAATTTGGATTAATTAATCAGTAGGTATATATTAGGCCAATACAATCAGGGAGGGAACATTCATTTATTTTTACCTTGAACAGGTTCCACCATAGTTCGCGAACCTTGGGGTCAACATCCGAGTACGTGGCCCAAGTGCCAAGAAAGTGTCCTCCGATTATGTTTTTGATGCCTTTGAACACTTCTTCGTCACTTAAAAAAATTAATAGTATTTATTTATATAAGATTTGGTTAGATTATTTAACATTATATAAAATTATTGAAAATAAGGTTTCTTCATAACTACTTACAAAAGAACTTCTGCAGGGGTCACCCAAACAGCTCCTTCGTTGTTGCGCTCCGCTTCGGACATGGGCGCATAGTTAGGGCGGGGAGCCGAGGTCGATTGTTCGTTGCTCATCTAAAATATATTAATTTATTTTGTTTTTTGTTAGAACGCTTATAATAGAAGATCAAATTTTTATGTAAGTATTGTCAATTGTCAATGTATATAACATATTAAACTGGGTATAAGTTTAATATCAGGTTCCAATAATTGCTAAAAAACAAATCCTATAATTATTAATGAGTTGGCACAGTCGACCGAAGAATCAACCGGTTGGAGCTCATCAATGAGTTGACCCAGTCGATTCATTAATAAACTCCATCCTGACGATTCTTCGGGCTACGCCTTGAACCATGGATGGGCTACATCACATGTAGCGACATAATGTCAGTACATGCGTTTGGGAGAGTCCATCGATGACTCAAGCCGTAGCCAGAAGAATCGACAGATTGGAGCTTATCTAAGAATTGACTAGGTCAACTCATTGACAAGCTCCAACTGATCGATTCTTCGATCGACTGGGTCAACTCATTGATAAATTATAGGATGAGTTTATTAGAAATTATTGAACCACTCATATTAAACTTATACACAGTTTATTAAATTTTTATAGGGAAAAATAATAAAAATACCCCAAACTTTGAAGGGATGTGACAAGAGCACCACAAACTTTCATATGTAATTTAAATTATAAAAACAGATTTATATAAAAACAGTTTGTATAAAAACAGTTTTTGGAAAAACAGTTTATCTAAAAACAGTTTATAATATAAAAAATAAAAATAATTTTTTATGCTTATACTATTATAAAAAACAGTGTTTCGTCCAGTTTTTTTCGGGATTAAATTTAAATGTTTAATATTTTGTTAATGGATATTACGGAAATTATATTTAAACGTGTTAAACTATTTTTGGAAGTTTAACACGAGGGGCTATTTATTTAAACAGTTTTTTTTAAATATTAATCTAAATTAAATATTTTCGGAAATTAAATTTAAAGTAGTGCATATGTATAGAGAAGCATGCAAATCAAACACTAAACATATATGTTAAACATGATACTAATTGTATAAGCACGCATTAGTTCGAAAATATATTAATCATGCATATGAACATATATTAAACATAAAATAATCTACATTTGAACATATATTAATCATGCATACGAAACATATAAAACGAAATTATCATGCAAAACTACAAATCATGCATATAATAAATCATACATACAACTTTTGAAGATTACAAAATGATATGAAACTAAAAATCATGCATCTTATCATGCATTTGAGTATACAATCATGCATTTTTGGAATTTTAATCAATATTATAAAATAAGATAAACAGAACACATAACCTTGACTGAAGAAGGGCCGACGGAAGAAGGTGGACGAAGGCGGCCGGAGGACGACGGCGGATGGCTAGACGGTGACGCGGACGGCTAGGCGGCGACGGCGGCACTATCTAAACTGGAAGAGAGGGAAGAGAGAAGGAAGAGGAAGTTAGGGTTTGGGAGTTTGGGTGCGTAGGTTTTTAAAAAAAACGCTAAGTGTTTGTTTTATATAATTTTTTAGTCACGGTCATAGTCACGGTCAGGACCGTGACTAAACCCTTCGTAATTGACGATGTCAGCGAGGCGGTCAGAGCCGCTTTAACCGGGATAGTCACGGTCATTGTCGTGACTATAACCGTGACTGTTTTTAAAATTTGAAAGTAGTCACGGTCATAATCACGGCAATGACCGTGACTATCGTGGTCAGCGCCCCTCTGACCGTTGGCCCTGACTTCGGCATTTACGAAGGGTGTAGTCACGGTCCTTACCGTGACTACAACCGTGACTATTAAATTTATAATTTCATTTTCCTGCCACCCAAGCATTTTATGCTAAAAAATGACTAATAAAGAACCAATTGACTGAGATATGATGCGTACAAGAATGTGTCGTCTGAAACTATGTACACAACTTATTGAACCGAAAAATGAATAAGGTGTTGTTCTGTTCGTCTTTGTGTTAGTTATTACTTATTGTTTATTCTTATTTTATTCAAATCAGATCAGATCAGAAAAATTCAGACATGATTTATTATTATTAATAATAATAATTATTATTATTCTTATTATTATTATTATTATATCGTTATAATAATATTAATTGTGTTTATATTACTATTATAATATTATAAATAATGTTAATATAATTATTAACATTATTATTATTATTATTATTATTATTATTATTATTATTAGTATTGTAATTATATGAATAACTATTAATACCATCGTAATTGTAGTGTGGACTGTGGAGTATTAAATAAATTGCTTTGAATTTATGTGGTATAGAACAGATTAAGGAGTAATTATTTTACAAACAATAATGATGAAAGAAATTATCAAATATGCTTGGAGAAATTATATCACAAAATTGAAATTACAACAGCACAATTACTCGCTGTCAGAATCGTTATTTTCTACATATATAGTGTCTTCTTCTGTATCTGAACCGTCTATCCATTCACCTTCTTCCTGATATTGAGCATTTTGTTGTGCTACATACATTTCCTCAATTTCGCGCTCAGATGGAATGGTTAGGTCCGGAAGGTGCGTTTCTGGCATGACTTCAACACGTCCGCCATTTGGATCACTTAATTGGACGTTATAGTTGACCGTCTCAACAATAGACGGAGGTTGGAAAAATTGTTGCTGAAAAGCATCTAGATCAACGTCCTTGTGTTGAGTTTGTGATTTTATTTTGTTCAGACGGACAGGACATGCACACACCCAAGGATTCTGTGTCCGCCTTGTTGAAGGATATTCTGCATAATAAATCTGCGCTGCTTGTTGGCGAGTATGAAAGGCTCATTTTTCGGGTACACACGAGAGTGGTTGACGTCAATCATATTATACTTCGGATTTTTGCGCACGCCACGTGTGGGGTCGACCCATGTGCAACGGAACAGAACGCATGTGAATTTTTCGCACCAGAAGGCATCTCAAGTTCCAGAATCTCCTGCAGGACACCAAAAAAATTGGTTTCCGAGTTATCATAACCGATGGTCGGGACACATAACCCGCTGTTCGTTGTTGGTCGGCCCTCTCCGTAATCGGCTGTGTGATATGTGTAACCGTTTATCACATATTGCCGCCACACTTTGGCACTGGCACCTGGGCCCCACGCTAATGATACTAACAAAGGGTCGACAATCCCACGACTATTGATCTGTAAATATAAACATCATAATAACATTGGGTAAACATTAGGTAATATATATAATTAATGTGTGTATATATATACCTGATACTTGTACCAATTTACAAAATCAGAGTCCACCAACGCATCAATTTCATTCTCAGGAAAGGCTGATAAAGAAGCTCGGAATTCACTGTGAAGTCAAAAATAAAAAATAACTATAAATTAACTACAAATTTAATTTATAAGTATTACAATTATAACTACAAATTTAACTTACTGATAAAATGGTGAGATTTCTGGACAATTCGTGAGGATATAAGTATGCGCAATTTGCAATTCCCCACCCAGGATGTATCGTTGTGTCGCAGCACCTTTACCTCTGCCTGGGTAATTGAAGATGGAAACTACATTTTCATATAAATCCTCGCCAATGTCATCGTTCCGGGCAGGTCTCTTCCTTCTGGTGATGACGTCACGCTCGAAGTAAAAAGACGAGAACGTTGAGATTTCTTGTTGAAGATACGCTTGACAAATTGAAGCCTCAACGTGTGCCTTGTTGGTCACTTTCTTTTTCAGCTCTCCTAGAAATCTGCAATAATGCAATAATACACATGTTAACAGTTATTGTGAAATAAATATTTTTTTTTAAATGAAATTGTGACTAACCTTTCAAATCTGTACATCCACCGATAGAAGACGGGCCCAGCAGTCAAAGCCTCATACGGAAGATGTATTATGAGATGTTCCATTGTATCGAAAAACGATGGTGGCATTATTTTTTCCAGATTACACATCAGAATGGGAACAGACTCTTGTAGTCTCCGGAGGGATGCCGCATCCAAAACGCTGGAACATATCGATTGAAACAACAAACTGATTTCAGTAATGCAGGACCATACGTGTTCAGGGAGCATCTCTTTTAGTGCAATTGGTAGAAGTCTTTGCATTATTACATGAGCATCGTGAGTTTTCATGCTCGCCGTCGTGGTAAGTTTGTTCATGTCTACGCATCTAGACAAGTTGGAGCAGTAGTCATCTGGAAACTTCTGAGACGCAAGCCATTTTAATATTGCTGCCTTTTGTGGTTCTGTGACCTGGTAGACTGCTTTTGGAACTTCCTTGCCCTGATATTCTAGATCAACAGAAAGTTCGGGTCTATCACACCAAATAGTCATATCTTTCCTAGTTGCAAGACCGTCTTTAGTTTTGCCTTTCAAATCCATCACCGTGTTAAATATATTGTCAAAGACGTTCTTCTCAGTGTGCATGGCATCTAAATTGTGACGGATGAGAAGGTCTTTCCAATAAGGCAACTCCCAGAATATGCTCCTCTTTGTCCACTTATGGGTATCACAATACCCATATGGCTCTTGGTTTGGCTCTTCCATAGCCGTAGGAAAACGTCGAACCCAGTTATAAATTTCTTCACCGGTCAATCTCGGGGGTGGGCTCTCTCGTACCGCTCTGCCTCTAATGAAAGACTTCTTGTCCTTTCGATATCGGTGCCTTTCCGGGAGAAACTTGCGGTGACAATCAAAGTAACTTCCTTTTTTGCTGTAACTGAGCCAGTTGGCACCTGATTTCTCCATGCATATCGGACATCCCATCAGACCGTGTGTGCTCCATCCCGAAAGCATGCCATAGGCAGGGAAGTCGCTAATGGTCCAAATGATGGCAGCTTTCATGATAAACATTTTATCTGATGAAACATCATAAGTTGGTGTCCCAACGGCCCACAGTTCTTTCATCTCCTCAATAAGGGGTTGAAGATAAATGTCTATCTTTCGCCCAGGATCCTTGGAACCCGGACAAATTAAAGACAAAAAGATGAAATGACTTTTCATGCACATGTCGGGAGGGAGATTGTAAGGAGTTAACATGACCGGCCAACATGAATAGTTCTTGCCAAACCTGCCAAAAGGAGCAAATCCATCTGAGCACAATCCCAGCCGCACATTTCGTGGCTCCATAGCAAACTGAGGATGACAGCGGTCAAAGTGTCTCCAGGCTTCACAGTCCGAAGGGTGAGCCATCATACCCTCGTTGGTTTCGTGCTCAACATGCCATGTCATGTGTTTCGCAGTAGCAGTCGAAGCGTACATCCTTTGCAGTCGAGGAGCTATTGGGAGGTAATACAGTTTAGACAGTGCAGACCTATGTCGTGGTTTCTTTTTACCTTGACGAACAGGTTTGTATCTGTCTCCACCACAGAACTTGCAGAACTCAAGTGCCTCATCCTCCTTCCAGAACAACATACATCCTTCCGGGCACGCATCAATTTCAACACAAGGTAGCCCCAACTTAGACATTAACTGCTTCATGTGGTAATATGAATCGGGAAGGGTATGATCTCGCGGTAGCATCCCTCCTACTGACTGCAAGACTCTATTCATGCAAGTTTCAGGGAGACTGTATTCGGCTTTTATGTTCATGAACTCAGTAACAGCGGATAGCTGAGAGTATCCCTCACAATCAGCATACAGAGGTTGGTCGGCAGTTTTTAGAACATCCTGAAATCTCTCAGCCAAACCTTCATCCACATAAGGTTGATAAAATGTCGGATTTTCATCCGCATCTGGTTGATACGAGGTTGAGGCTTCAGGGTGGTCGTTAGGTGGTTGTGGGGGGTTCAACTGAGACGGTACACCGTATGCGTCATATACCATTTGTTGGTCCCACCTCATTTCAGCACGGTCTCCCCACGCACTCATCTCTGGAGGGACGTAACGAGACGAACCTACCGTTTGTGGTATAACAGATGGATCCAAAGGTTCGCCGTGAGAAGTCCAATTATAATAATTGGGAACAAAACTGACCGCGTACAAATCATACCCAACTTCGTGTGGGTCTTTAAATTTGAGATTTTTACACTTTGAACATGGACATCTTATTTTATCACCACTCATATAAGCCGGATGTTCAAGTGCAAATTCAATAAATTCCCCGACTCCCTCGAGAAAATTTGATTGCATTCCGTACAATACCGCATCTTTATCATACATCCAACTTCTATTTTGTTTATACATTATGCCTGAATATTATAATAAAAAATTATATGAAATGCAATGCACACAATTTTAAGTAATTTATTTCACTAAATATAATCAACTAATTTTCACTAAATTAAATGAAATGCACATAATTCACAACAATAATGCACAAAATATACGTCCCCTTATGCACAATAATGCACATAATTTCACTAAATTAAACATACGTTTAATTAAATTTAACTAATTCATTTAGTTAAATTTAACTAAATTTAACTAGTTCATTCCGTCCCCTTTTAGTGCATCACTACGTATAAACCTACGTTTAGCTAACTAATTTAACTTAATTAACACATCAATAGCTACGTTCAAACTTAACCTACGTTTAGCAAACGAATTTGAATTAAATTATTTTTGTAAACCTACGTTTAAACCTACAATAAATTATTACGTTAATGACATTTAATCTTATTAGCAATACACAATTAACAATTCACTAAATTAAATAATATGACCAAATTCAACCCAATAATTTGAACATGTATATAAAGTCATTTGAATTAATAAGCAATACACAATTCACAATAACAATTCACAATTCACTTAATTAACACATTACTAACGTACGTTATTTGAACTAATTTCACTTAACATAAACATCATTACGTTTTAAACTACATTTAGCTAACTAATTTTAAATAAATTATTTTATAAACCTAAAAGTTTAACTAATTCTAATTTATGACATTACTACGCTTATAGTTAAAACATGTTGTTAATTAATTAACAACCTCACTAATTTAATAGTTTTAATAATTTAAATTGAACCAACTAATTCTAAATAAAAATTATAATTCAAATAACATACCTTATCTGCATAAACAGGGAAAATGATAGAAGATAGACTACATCCTTCGATCTTTCAAACGGATACTGTATATACTGGGAATGAATTGGTGTGGTTCTGCTGAATGAGCTGCTCCTGCATATATAAAAAATTTAGTCACGGACTTAGTCACGGATTTGTCCGTCACTAAGCAAAACCGTGTCCAATACGCGTCCAACACGTGTTAATGACGTGTTAATAAAAGTAGTCACGAAACTAGTCACGGACGTGGCCGTGACTAAAGTTATCCATACATAATACCGTTGCGCATTAAGTTAAGGGAGGTGAAAAAATAAAATTTTAATCATAGTCACGGGTATAGTCACGGCCACATCCGTGACTAAGACGTCGGAATCAAATAAAATTCGCCGGAAACGGAAACGGGCCTATCGGAGGACTTAAGTCACGGGCCAAGACCGTGACTAATTGTAGTCACGGCCATAGTCACGGTCTTGACCGTGACTATTTTTTTTTTAAATTTCCGTGACTAGTCCGTGACTAGACCGTGACTAAACTAGTCACGGACCAAATCCGTGACTACGGTCCGTGACTAAACGCGTGTTTTTTTGTAGTGTTATGTTTAGGGAATAAAAACATCACAATTTTATTTTGGAATATGCAAACGTTTTTGCTTCTATTTAGGGCATTTTTTTTAATAACAACACTATGTAAAATTTTGAGTTTCTCAATCTATCATGAGGTTCACCTTTCATGATTTCTGATATCTAAAAAATTGGATTCCCCTTTTAAAATAAGAATCTCGATTCTTAACATAATATGAAAGCTAGATTAGATTGTGCTATGATTGTTGGTTAGCACTCACAATTAAGAATAATTTGTTAAGCGTCTTGTTTAGCCTATTTATATAGCTGACGTTATCCAATCCAATTTGGACTGATTGAAAGTGTTAAGTATATATCCCACATGAGGTTGATATAAATTATTTATATAGCTGACGTTATCCAATCCAATTTGGACTGATTGAAAGTGTTAAGTATATATCCCACATGAGGTTGATATAAAATAACAAAACAGTCCTATACATAAAATTTTGGATTATTTCTTTGATCTGAGGTGTTTGGAACTGATTCTGCTTTTTCTTCTTTTTTAAAGCAGAAGCAGAATCAGAATTAGTATTCAGAAGCTGGTCTCCCTCAGCTTCTAAAAAAACTAATTCTATAAGTAAATTAGAGCCCAGAATCACTTCTGCACTTGTACCCAAACACCTCAACTTCTGCTTCTGCTCGCTGAAGGAGCAAAAGCAGTTTTAAGAATCAGATCCAAACACTCCCTAATTGACCTTTTTGGATAGATCGCGAATCTTAACAACTTGACATCTGAATTTTTTAATCCAATGGTAGCTTTCTGGGAGATTTGCAATTTTAGTCCTACCACTTTCGGTCATTCTCGTTATTAGTTTTATAACTTTACTCGTTTGCAGATTTGATCCTGTAACAAATAAATCTTTGTAATTTAATGTCTCTTCCACCGGAAAGTACATTTCCCAGCGAAAAGTTCAGCACAGGTGACATCTTTTTCAGTATATTTTAGCTTGAAAAGTGTGCGCTTTTTATGGGAAGTCTTTATTAAATCATAAATATCTATTAGTTAGAGGATGAAACTTAGAACTAACTAAAATTGACAAGGACTACAAATCAAAACTGTTTAGAATTAAATTGCCATTCACCCTACTTTCCTTAACTTTCTATTAACTCATACTTTCTGATCTTTTCTCCAACTTTAGTTGATAAATCAACTAAATCTTATCATTGAAATACTGAATGAAATCTTATCAATTTAATTTACTATGAACCCTCAAGTAAATGTAATTGTACAGTACAAACGGTACAGTACTCTACTTCTTTACGATAACATTTACTTGATGCATGCCAAACTACAAATTTCTTTTTGACAATTATTGACGTGGCTCGACTAAGTTATAATGAAACAATTCCAATAAGATCTTTTTTTTTTGGTAAAAATTCCAATAAGATTTTGATAGTTAGAGCATCTACATTGATCATTTTCGACTTTACGGTTTTTCATGACTTATTATTGTCATGTCATGATTGTCATCTCCACATAAGATAGTTTCAAATAATCTCCAAATCAATAAGAGCCCGTTTGGAGACCCCTTTCTTCGGCTTATCAGGCTTATCAGCCAGCTTTTTCACCAAACACGTAATTTTTACTTTCGCGTGCTGAATTGTGTAATAAGCAGAAAAAGTAAGGTTGGAGTTACTTTTCTGGCTGTATTGGCTGAAGTTACTGTAGATGACCATTTTAGTTATTTTTACATGTAATTTTTTCTTTATTTTATTAATAAAATATATTTTTAAAATATTTTTTTCTAAAATCAGCAGAATCAGCCAAAACAGCCACTTCAGCCAGAACTTCATAAATTTCAGCAGAACCAGCCAAAACAGCCGATTTTCGTGCTACCAAACGGGCTCTAAATTTTTCTTCATTCATGATCTTAATTTATCTTGGATAGGAACATGAGCATGCACGAACTACCAAGCTAGTCATCACCATAATTATGAGTATATGCCTAGAAGTTAGAAATAATCTCAAAATAATCCAGCTTTAGAATTTGATACCAGATTATTTTATCAAATAATCTCATAAAATAATCTCAACTATTCATCCATGATACCAAAAAAAATCTTCCACATCATCAAAATGATCCCAAAAATAATCCATGAATGTGGATGCCGTTAGTAAAGTTAATAATTAACGTTATTGAAGAGGATAATATTTTCAAAAAGGATGCTTATACCCACTTTTGTACCCACCTATGTTTGTGAAGTATTTTTTTTATCTATTGTGAACCCCGGATCATAGACAATATTTTGCACAAACAAAATATTGTGGTGCACAAACAAAAAAAACATTTCACAAACATGGTGGGTATAAGGTGGGTATAAGAGTGGATACATCAACTCATCAAGCATTATTGTAATATTTTCCTTTGGGTTAGATACTTTTCTCATACATTTTTCACAATGATATGTACATTACTAACATAGTTTTTCCAAACAAAAATATGACTAGTATTAGACAAAAATATGTTTAACCACTGTATACAAATAACTGTACAAAATCACTATAGTGCATTTTAGCGTGATAAGTCACTGATAAATAATGAGTCATTGAGAACTAGTGATTGAATGTGTCACTGTTTGAAGAATATTAAATTAAGTTATATTTTTATCTTTTAAATTTAATTTGATAATATTCATGGAAAAGACCTACAAAATAGAATTTTAGCAATCAACTCAAGAGGAAATTCTTTAAATAAAATTATATCATAGATAAAGTGCATAATAAGAGGTTAAGTGCGTCATTAATTTAATTTGTTTCTAAACTGGTTAGGACTAAGGATGTTTTTACAATTTTACTTGGACTGTAATTTGTCCCAAACCAGACCAGTCCAGACCAGACCAGACCAGTTCAGACCAGACCAGACTTGGATAGTTATAAAAATACAAAGAAACTAGACCTTACCAGACCAGACCAGTTCAGACCAGACCAGACCAGACCAGACCAGCAAATTACAGTCCAAGTAAAAACATCCTAATTCATTCCTCAATGGAGAAATCTCAGGCTTTTCATAGAACCAAATACGTTACCTTCTATTTTAGGAATAAAATTTTGTGCGCTATACTTTTATGTTTAATTTGCTTTCTATTTTGAGCAATTTGTTTCTACTTTTGAATAACCTTATCATTTCAACCATTTTAAGTACTACTCCCTCCGTTTCTATTTGGTTGACACACTTTCCTTTTTTGGACGTTTCAAAATGAATGCCACACTTCTTTATTTCCTTATTTGGTAAACAAATCTTTACCTAAACAGTGCAAAACAGTGTCAAACAGTGTTCAAACAGTGCCAAATAGTGTTCAAACAGTGCCAAACAGTGTACTCTACAGTAAAATTTACCACTCAATAACTTTTTTCCCTTAAATCTTGACAAGTCAAACTGTGTCAACCAAATAGAAACGGAGGGAGTACAAAATAGGCTCTTGGTTGTTAAAATTACTGTGAATGTAAAGGACATAACATATAAGTAACCACATTTGCAAACAAAGACACCACACGTTCCAGAAAGTACTGTGCCGGAATCTAATTTTAATGTAAGAAAAGTAATACTCCATCATATATGGTGTCTAATTTCTAAACATTAAATGATTGGTAAGCTTAATTATATACTTCATTCGTCCCATTTTATCTGTCCTATTTTTCTTTTTGGATTGTCCCAAAATGAGTTTCTATTTCTTTTTTTGGAAAGAAATATGAGGTCTACACCATTTCACTTTATTATATTCAAACATCATCCACAACTTTTACTTTTTCAACTACTTCATTAATAATCGTGTCAAGTCAAACTAAGACACATAAATTGGGACGGAGGTAGTACTGGGGAGTATAATTCATTTGTTTTTAGTTTCAATATGAAAATTTTTACATTATTCACTTATTAGTTTACTTTGACTATATTTTATTTATTAATGTATGATAATTGTTTATTTTCAAAAATATTGTTAAGTCTGTCTCGTTAAATACTTTCACACTCTGAATTTTAAATAATTTTATTAACAGAGAATTAAATATAATGAATTTCAAAATTGTGTGTTGACAAACACGAATGTGAATGTTAGAACTGAAAAAGAACGGAAAAAATATACGTAGTATAGAATTAAGTAAATAAAGAATAGCTGGGAACCGATTCAATTATACCTGTATCTAGCACCGAATGAACGATACGGAAGCTCGAGAGTGGTAATTAAGTAATTAGAAGGAGCTATGGAACTCAGGATAGATAGCGCCACCGGTTCATGGTGTGACAGAGTGATCACCAAATTAATAATTAATCAACAATTAAACAAATTAATTAATTAAATTAAGGCATATACTAACAATAATAAATATTAATCCATGGCGGGCGCTATCCCTCCTGAGCTTAACAGATCCTCCATTACAATTCACTGGTTTTTCTAGAGGACCTTGAGAATGGGATTGAATTAAAGACTGTATTTTGTGGGTTTACGTTGCAGAGCTTAAATTGGATGCCTGAAAGAAAGAGGTCGGAAGGTGTATTTATAGGATAACAAGGGGGTAGGGGTGGGGTGGGGTTTGTAACAAGTAAATTTGGTTCAACCAATCGTGGTTCGATACAACACGAAAAAGATCTATGAAATGGGAAGTACGATTTTGTTGATTACTTCATATTAGCTCACTTTTGATAAGCAAATCAACTTCAAATCTTCAATATTGCAGTACTTATCAATTGGATTAGTCAACTAATAGATAGATTTATAGGGTAGAGACAAGGATCTAAAATTATTTGTTGTTGGTACCTCAATTCAGTCATTTGGAAGCCAACTCACTATTTTTTGGCTTAGAAATATGATTAACAAAAATGCTACTTTTGCACGATGGGTCACATGCTCAGTTACAAGTCGGTTACACGCCTCAAGTGTAATTATCTTTATTCATACAATTACACATGGGCTTGTAATCAAGCGTGTGACCCGGCGTGTACAAGTGGCATTTTTGTATTACTCCGTATTAAATACAACAAAATGACTCAATAAATTATCTGCGCTTCGTTGTTATATAACAGCAATCAGACCATGTAATTTTTTATCCAATTTTCTTGATTAGTCATCTAAAGACAGTCTCTTTATGTTCTACTATAGTATAAGGGTAAGGCTACATATATTCGACCCCCACCCTTTACGCTACCGTAATTGGGTGTCTTTGCAGCACTAATATTGTTGTTTTTGTACGTCAACTCCGTCCAAGGCGTGATTAAGAAATGATTTTTGTTTGTCTTAATTTTATGACTTATTATATTGTTTGTGATCATACCAAATTAAAAATTAGGCCACTATTCAAAAAAAAATGAGAAAGGTATAATTTTGAATCATATCAAGTTAAATTGAGAAGTGGGAACTTGTGCCCAGAGGTGGAGACAGGGAGGGGCTGGAGGGGGCCTCGGCCCCTGCAAGAGAAAAAATTCTTAAGCATATATTATGTATAAATACGTTTAATCTATAGAAAATATATTGATATTTTAAACGTTGGCCCCTGCAATGTAAAATTTTTAAAGACCGGCCCCTATAACTATTGACTTCTGGCTCCGCCACTGCTTGTGCCAACATACTAATGCAACGTACTCGTTTAGTTTCTTTATGACAACTTTTTCTAAGAGGCAAACCATTTTATGACAACTTAAGAGCAGATAATATTTGAAAAGTTTATTAAGGTGAAGCATTTCATAATACAGTGAAGGTTTGACGATGCCATAAATGAATTACGGAGTATTTGAATGCAAATGTGCAGCACTGAGAAGCCAAACCTAAAAATTTGACACCTCTCGCTTTAATAAGCATCACCTCACATGCCAGATACGTATGCATTAATATGGCCACGACCAACGTCCGTATTTTACCTTGATAACATTTCAGGTTTTTTTTTTTCAAAAAAATCTATTAGACAAAACACGGACAAAAAAAGTTAGTGTATAAATAGCAAAATGTATACAACAAGTTTTTATATTTTGCAGTGCACCTTAAAATGTTTTTAATTAGGTTAGTTATAACTTATAATCATTGGGTATGTTTGGAAAATGGCTTATCATCCAACTTTTAGCTTGTTTGACCAATATTGGCTGTTTCATTAATTAGTCAAAGCATCCAATATTTATGTTTGGTAGATGGCTTTTTAGATTGGTTTGTTGAGTCCCAAAAGAAAAAAATGGCTGGTAGGAGAAGCCAAGGAGGGCAGCGTTTCTATTCGGCTTCTTCAGAGTTTCCCACCAGGGGTATACAGCTCCAAGGATGTTTTCTTTTGGACTGAAATTTGCTGGTCTGGTCTAGTCTAGTCTGGTCTGTTTAAGTCTGGTCTGGTCTGGTCTGGTCTGAACTGGTCTGGTCTGGTAAACGTCTGGTCTCTGTGTATTTTATAACTATCCAAGTCTGGTCTGGTCTGGTCTGGTCTGTTTAAGTCTGGTCTGGTCTGGTCTGGTCTGTTTAAGTCTGGTCTGGTCTGATCTGGTCTGGTCTGGGACTGAAAACAGTCCAAAAGAAAACATCCAAATCTCCAATGTCCAAAGTAACTTTTTCCTTGGTTAGCCAAAGTTTACTTAACTATTTGTTTTGCAATTCTCTCTTTTTGTTTCATTCTTTTGGCATGGTTACCCTTTTCTAAATTAATGATTTAAGTAATTGTTTTAAATAAAATTTGTAAAACCAAATACTATTTGAAAAATAATACGTACATAGTATATGCTTAACTAACATATTACTCCGGTATATTATTTTATATTACTACGTATTAGTTATGCCTTTTCTCTTGAATTAAAATAGAATTTATTCAACACATTTTAAAAATTACAAATATACAAATGATTTATTTATATCTATGAAGTAAGAGTAGTTATAAAATTTTCATTATTAACAATGATAAAATACTTATTACAAGTATTATCATGTCTTTATATGTCTTTTTACACTCTATCAGCCATTTTGAAACAGCCAATTTTACCAAATAATTATTTATAACTAGCTAACATAATCAGTCGGTCAAAACAGCTAACACAACCAGCTAACAGCAACAGCTAACAGCCATTTACCAAACAAGGCCTTTATGTTATAATAGATCATATCAAATCAGATGTACACAAACCAAATTATATATTCAATCAGATTAGATCATATTTCAATAGTTATAGAATACACATAAACACACATTTACTAGATCAAACTTAGCCGGGCTCAACGGGCTCAACCAATTCAAACAAAAAAATCATTCCAATTATATTAAAACATCCAAAAGGCCAACAAACAATTCATGTCTTTAGATCTTGAAGTTATTTGGAGATGTGTAGAAATTAGCAACTCTCTCTTTCAAATATAGTTTTCCAATTCATCCTTACACATGCATGAACTGTAATTGATGTTTTGTTATGCCGATGACACAGTTTGTGAATTGTACTTCCTCCATCACACGTAAAACATAACCAATTTCCTTATTTAGTTGTCTAAAAAGCATTTCTTTTGAAGCATCAAATTTATATTTAATATTATTCCTCTGACTTTTGCATGATATACTTAAATAAAACATATTTTTTTGTTTTCTTATTCCATTCCTAAATTTACTCAGGCAAACTTTTATGAGACATGAATGTATTTCTTTTTGATAAAATTTAGTTATTCACACAATCTTATTTACTACATAACAAATAGTAGTATAATTTATATTTCAAATTAATATCTATCTTTAAGAGAGTGTTTGCAATCACTTAAAAAAAAAGCACTTCTCAGCTTTTGGCTTAAAAAAGCACTTATTTACCAAACACTACCAATTTTTACTTTTTCTCGGCTTGCGTGTGAAAAGTGCTTTTCTTCTTTCTATTACACAAAAAACACTTATTTTACCAAACACTATCAACTTTTACTTTTCAAAATTACTTTTTTCTCAAACACCATCAACTTTTCCTACTAATCACTTTTTCTTTACATCTCTAAAAGTGCTTTTTTTTAAGCAGAAGCATTTGCAAACACTCCCTAAAAGAAACTAACCCGGACTAGCTGGGTGGACTCGAAAACCGGCCTCCCGGAACTAAAATCAGTACGGGTAGTTTTTTTTTTTTTTTGAAAGGCAATCTATCGGTGCAGGTAGTTAAAAACCTGAAAATGGCCAAATAATGGGAAAATACAGGATAGCCCGAAAAGTCCCAGTTTTTGGAGGGTCATTTTTTAAAGCATTTCTAAACCAATAAAATCACATAAGAGAAATATGTGAATTGAAAGTCTACTATAATGTACAATATATACTTGTACAAATAACAAAGAACATTATACGAGTATATTCTAATATGACCAAAATTATATTTTAATTATTATGAGTGTTTTAAATGTTTACCAAATACTGTATAGAGTATATTATAATTATTATTATGAATAAAAGTTACTATGGATGTTTTCTTTTGGACTGTTTTCAGTCCCAGACCAGTTTAGACCAGACCAGACCAGATCAGACCAGATCAGACCAGATTAGACTTCTGTAGTTATAAAATACACAGAGACCAGACGTTTACCAGACCAGACCAGACCAACAAATTTCAATCCAAAAGAAAACATCCTATGTACTTTTTCATTTAATTTCAGTCCAATAGCTATATATGTTTGTTACTGCTTCCGTCATGTTTAAATGTTCACATTGCACAACGGAACGATTATTTGAACAATAATTAAACAAGAGGGCTAGAATACCCGAATTAATTCGGGTATTTTGAGAAATAATTTTGATAGATATACGGAGTCTAATATAATGGGGTTATTGGTGATACGGAATCTAATACTTAGTATTTGATGATTAAATTGTTAGCTAGTAATGTTAATTGTTTTCTAAAATAGTAACGTGGGATATCAGAAAGGGAAAGCATTTATATGGAGCGGATGAAGTATTTATAAATGTTTATTGGTTTCTTAGCGTTGATCACTCATGATCTGACTAATAGGTTGGGTAATTTCTCGATCCCATTTTTCAATTAATTCGTAGTATTCATTCACTATAAAAATATACGGAGTAAACTCTAATTTTTATGACAAAAATTCATGTGCCAATGACACGGTTTGTGTCAGATGCACTTGACTCAATGACTTGATCTCCACTCTCTATATACACATATCGTACGTGCCTCATCATAATTATAAGACCTTGAATTAATTGGTACGAGTAGTAAAATAAAGCAAGATTTCTTTTAATTTCCTCATGTCACTCAGCTAACATATTACTCCTATTAATCATGCCTAACTACCCTACGATGAGTAATACAGCTAGAGAAGACAGACATGAATTTATAGGTACGAATTCATGATATATTAAATCTCATTTGGATTCAATCAAGCCTAGGTTAGGATACAATGTTGGTGAAGAAGCCGGGAATGGCGGATGAGGGGTGAACCATGAATGTTCTCTCCTTACATTTTCGTGCTAGCTAGACTTGGAATAGGCCGGGTTTCTTTATGGTAATAATGTAGACAAGACAACATATATATCATGGTGGCCTAACATGTGGATCATTTATTTTGGCTGCCTTTGCCTATTGAGTTAGATCCCATTATTATACTCGAACAATTATAGAGCCCGTTTGGTAGCACCAAAATCGACTGTTTTGGCTGATTCTGCTGAAATTTATGATATTCTGGCTGGAGTGGCTGTTTTGGCTGATTCTGCTGATTTAAGAAAAAAATATTTTAAAAATATATTTTATTAATAAATTAAAGAAAAAATTATATGTAAAAATAGCTAAAATGGTCCTCTACAGTAACTTCAGCCAATACAGCCAGAAAAGTAACTTCAACCTTACTTTTTCGGCTTATTACACAATTCAGCGCGCGAAAGTAAAAGTTACGTGTTTGGTGAAAAAGCTGGCTGATAAGCCTGATAAGCCGAAAACAGAGTTCTCCAAACGGGCTCATAATATGGGAAAATTGTGTTTTCAATTCAAGTGTTGTTTAATAATCGTCTTTTTCATCTACAGTATCATTTACCCATATATAGTTATAAGTTCATACGAATATATAGTTCCTTTGTAACACAATGACTAATTAGAACTCCGATCACCATTTTGAGAGATGTAAAAACATTAAATTTCCAGTGTTTACAAGAAACATTGGTTAAAACAAACTGTGGTCTCGCGGTCGTCTACCGAGGCAGAATATCGAGCCATGGCAGTTGCCGTTAGTGAAATTATTTGGCTCCGTGATCTTGGAGTCTTCTTTGTCACACTCATGTCATTGTTCTGTGACAATCAGGCAGCCCGTCATATTGCTACTAATCCAGTATATCACGAACGCACCAAGCATGTTGAAATGGACTGCTATTTTGTTCGGGAGCGCATTATGAGTCACGAGATTCAGCCACAACCAATCTCCACTCAACATCAAGTTGCTGATATCTTCACTAAGGCTCTTGGCGGTGAGCAATTTCAGTACCTTTGTTCCAAGCTGGGTGTACGAGACCTACACTCCAGCTTGAGGTGGAGTAATGCGTGATATGCGTGATATATATCACGTTTGACTTAGCATGGCAAGTTGCCATTTTACGTGGATTGCACCATATATTTTATTTTGTTTACTTATTTGTATTGCTTTACTTTTATGATGCCATATGGTCTTGCATAAATAGAGGTAGACATTTGGTGCAATGATCAATCAACTTTCGACATACTCATCTCCTTCCCAGAATCATGTTTTTATATTTCATGTCCATTTTAATAAACACGTGTCACAAAATAGATTGTTTTCATGTGTCACACAATCCCAACATAGTTTTCAAAATAAACGTCACCGATTATTAATTGGTTAAACACCGTCAAGCAAGAAACCAACATTGGAAATAGGATGGAGGAGCCTCCTAAAATAAATCTGATCTTATATGGGGTCATGTGGTCATGCCCATCTTCATTTCCTTCTCTCCATTTACTCTCTCCATTTCTTTTTCACTATATCTCTCTCTTTAAAAAAAATAATTAAACATAATCTTTTTTCTTTCTCTACCCCGCCATTTTCCCACCTCTCTATATCTCTCTCATAATGGATAGTTCCAGTTAATGGAGAGGAGCAAAAGTCTCTTATATATGAGTATATAATATGATAATGTTTTAAACTTTGGTCCTCTGCAATATAAAATTTTCAAGTCCGAGTCGCATAAACATAATCCTTTTTCTTTCTCTACCCCACCATTTCCCCACCTCTCCCTATCTCTCTCCTAATGGATAGTTCCAGTTAATGGAGAGGAGCAAAAGTTTCTTATATATGAGTGACGTGCACTTTGTCGTGATGTGCACTCAAAATAATAATAATACAATACAACAATTATACGTAGTATAATGAAGTAAGGTTCGTATCCACAGGGAAAGGAATATTTCTCTTTTTATAAACTAGTAACAAAAGGGGGGGGGGGTTAGATTGAATAAATGAACTTAAATTATATTTAAGCACGAAGATGAACGAGTTATGTGGTTTAATTAATGAGAAGAAGACTTGGCTTTGCTTTTATCCACTTAATGAAATGTTCGTCGATCCCGGTTATATCTTTAACTATCTTCCTCTCGAATACTCAATCGAGGAGTATATCCAGTTCATCGAGGGTAGTTATTAATAACGAGATGCGTTCATTAATAAAACTTACTATCGAGTCAATATAGAACAAGCGCCGTATATTAACTTGATAGTAGCAATAAACTTAAGATGAAAATGATTGAGATTGATAACCTCAACACAAGCGGTTTATTGGTTTAATCAATATAATTAATTCCTCTTGGCTTATTAACCATGAGAAGCATGTATCAACAACCCAAGTTTACTACCATTGAAAGAACCGAATTAATAACAAGCGTATTAAACGATTGATTCTAGTAATGATTAATATATGAATTATGAAACAAAACTAATTGATCCTTTAAGTAATGCTCAAAATATTAATATGGAATATGAATAGGAAGTAATTAATATTCAAGGAAGAAGATTAAAGAAAATAACTCACAACTTACAAATCATTAAGCTTCAAAGTAGCAAAACCAAGATGGAAGAGTTTAGCTCCTCATTTGGAGACTAAACATGAAGAAAATATAAAGAAACAACCTGTCTAAACTGAGCTTAGAAGTATATAGGAATTGGTGATCTATTGTGGAAGAAATGAGGTGTATTTATAGGCTTTTTAGGCTTGCAGGGTCGTGTACCCGATCGGGCTGTAAGGGCACTCGATCGGGTACTCGGTTGCTGCGCAGAAGTGTAAAAAAACTGGAGTATACCCGATCGAGTATGTCGGCCACCCGATCGGGTATAGACACTCGATCGTGGTCAAAATCTCCCCTGCATGTTGCCTTGTTCCCGGGTTGATCCGATTTGATTTTTCAGCGACTTACCCGATCGAGTATAGGGCATACTCGACCGGGTACAATACCAAAAATCAGGATCTTCATTTTTGCTTGGAATTTTTGCACCTTCCTTCCACTTGTGATGTTCACCAATGGTCCCTAGAGTGGTCTTGGACCTGTTTGAGCTCAGAACAAACCTAATCTAAACAATTTACAAACATTTTACAAACTAAACTATTACACCAAAAGTGTGTAATTTCTAGAGTAACAATCACTCAAAACTAATCAAAAACACAAATATAAACATGGAAATAACATGAATGTCAATGAGTATATAATATGATAATGTTTTAAACTTTGGTCCTTTGCAATATAAAATTTTCAAGTCCGAGTCGCATAAAACTACATTTCTGGCTCAACCAGGGGCGTAGCTAGGGGTGGCCACCCCTGGCCCAGCCCAAATTTTAAAAATGTCTATAATTTTAGTGTAAAAAGTTCCGTGTAAATTTTTTCCCAAAAATATTCTTTGTACTGGCCCAGTCCGACCCACTGCTCTGGCTCCGCCCCTGGACTCAACCACTGGGAGAAGTTATCCCATTAATTGAGTATATGGTTATGGAACCACCCGACCAAATATATACACATACTACACATAAACAGGCCTAACCAGCCACACAAAAACCCAGCAAGCAAGCAGCTATCCCTTGGAAGAGTCACTAGGAGTTGTGGGCCACAACAACATATAGCTAGAATCAGGGGCGGACCGTAGTACAGACCTGGGGGCTATCTCCCCTCCAACAACATTTTTTTTTAGTGTACATATATACGAAAAATAATTTTCGCCTCGTTTGAACTACGTTACCGCCCTCCCAAGATGAATTTCCTGAGTCCGTCCCTAGCTAGAATGAACCGCTGATGAAACCGATCTGAAAAGACTCCGTTGTTCGTGCGAGCCATCGGCATGGCACCCAAGGGCAAAGCCCTCGGCCTCGTCTTCAGAGCCCTCCTAGCTCCGGTCTTCTCTAACCATCAGTGGACACATTTAATGCACCACCACATGACCGTTTCTACCTTACTTCAGAGCTCTGCGTCATAGATTAGTTTAATGCACTGATAAGTGTTATAAACTTTGATTAGTTTATAGTTCTTCTCTCTCTAATTGGAAATTCCTATGTTCACATTTTTTAGTGAAATCAAACGTACGTTCCTATGTTCACATTTTTTAGTCGCAAAAAACAATTAAGCAAAACTTAGGATATGGTCAAATGGGTGATAGGTGTATGAGTATAACTAATGGGCTATACGATCGTGTAGGGCTCGGCCCGGCAAACCGGTTCCGGTACTGGGCCTAGGCCCGGCCCGAGGGGGTAACCGGGGGCGGTTCAGGTGCCTTAAAAAGGCGAACAGGCCCGGCCGGTCTTTTTTTTTTGCTTGGGCTAGGTTTAGTTGGGCTAGGTGTTTCCGAGGGGTTTGGGGGTGGGTGGATTGGGGGTAGGGGTTGAAATACATAAGAAAACAAAAAAAAAATGAACCGGGAACTGGACCGGCCCGGCCCGGCCCAGAACCGGTAGACCCCCAGGCCAGTTTCGGGCCTTACCCAAAATGTTCCAGGCCCGGTCCACCACTAGACCCAGGGATCAAACATTCAAAATTTCTATTGCAAAAACGGATTTACAAATTAATATTATAGTTATTAATATTATTTGTAAAAACCATTTTGAAATGAATGAGAAATTATTCCCCTAAAGATAAGTGTGAAATTATATTTAACACGCATACATTGTCGCCGCCGTCGGTCGGGTTGGGTTCGGGTCTTTGATGAGTCAACAATCGGGCTTAAGATAGGAAGATTTATTTTTATCTACGTCTTTCGGATAAAACCAAATACAAGACACAACCATTCGTTTTAAAAGAAAGGTCATGAAATTTCTTTTAAAAGGTGTCTTTTGGGTTAGAGACTCCTGATCAGAGCTCTATAAATAGTTAAATACCCGCCTTGTCTTCAATTTTGGATAATCCGAAAATCATCACACAATCCTCCATATTTTGTCTTCCTTCGTTGCATCTTTGAGTTCGCCGGAATCCCGTTGGAAGCGAAGAACCGTTCTCTCCTGTGAGACGCTTGCTACGTGTGTCGGGCACAAACGTCTTAAGGAAACAACGTTTACGTTGGGCTCGGTTACAAGTAATCTTACGTTTTTCCTTAATTATTTATTTATTATTTCATTTTGCATGCAGAATATTAGTACACACATATAACAATCTTAAGACGTTTTCTTTTATTCCTATTTTGTGTACTTGCATGTTTCTATTTGTCGTGTATATGTGGTGTATTAAGGGTTTTTTACGAGAATATTACTAAAATAAAACTTATTTACATAAATATGACTATTCATTACTACAACGTAGTGCTGTGGTAACTAAAGTTCAAAACTTGAACATAAATTACTATGATTTCATTACTACTCTAGTAATGAATCATATTTTTGTAAACCATCTTTATTTTGGTCATATTTATGTAATTATTTCGTGTATTAATAGTCGGTTGTTAGTTTAAGTATTACTTTCGTGCAGTTAGGAGTGGGTCGGAGATCGAAATCAAAAACCGAAAACTGAATCGTAAAAACCCGAACCGCAACCAAAACAACCGAACCGCAACAAAACCGAAACTGAACTCAAAAACCCGAACTGAACCGTAGTTATTTGGTTTTCACATCTCAAAACGGAACACCGAACCGAATAAACCGAACTTTTTTAAAGTTGTTATTTTATTTATTAATCATTAAGTATAATATTTTGTTTAGTTCTTAATTCTTAATTCTCGAAAATTAATGTTTGATACTAAATTTATTATGATTTGCAAGATATTGACATTTAATAGTTATTACTTAATTAAGTGAAACACTTGTACATAAACTTAAGTCTATTACTATAATACTAATATGTTAATATTTTAAATCGTAATTTATATTTTGCTTGTTGTTGCATGACAATGGTACTTTGTTGATATATTATATGTTATGTATGTTTGTTATCATATAATTTTTTATATTGAACAAATATGTATTAATATAAACTATACTTTAAACAACATAGCAGAAAATGCGAAACTTTAGGCCATAAATATATTTGGATAAAAAAGTAGATTAAGTTTACTAATAAATTTTTAACTTGTGAAAACTCTGTATATAATTCAATTATAAACTCATGCGTTTAATTAATTTAGAAAATGTTTAATTTGGTATACACATACTCTCTAATTCATTGCTTGGAAGTGCATTTGTTTCTTCTCTCTTTTTTAATTATGTATGTTTTTGTATTGCATTACTATTAATAATAGTTTGGTGTAGTTAATTTTTTTGGTTTTTTTTCAATTACTATTTTTCTAATCAACAAAAATACTTTGGTAAAACCCGAAATAAACGAAACCGAACCGAACAAACCGTGGTCCCAAATTTTTGAACATAAAATCAAACCGAACCGAACTGAACTTTTTACTTTGGTTCGACATTTGGTTTTAGGTGAAAATTGAACTGTTTAAACCGAACCCAGCCATGCTTGCAGTTTATATGCAATAATCTCAAAGTTCACAACTTCAATTTTTCATTCGATCTCTACGAACTGATTAATAAATTGATTACATACATTTGTATTTGTTTGAGATAAAGAGGTGCATTTTCATTTTCGGTTGTGTATACACCTGTTCGCATATATACTACTCCTTAATATTTTAAGTACAATTTTAAGTTTGCATTTTCCCTAACCATCAATTTGATATATGCCATATACGAAGTATATGAAATAATTACATAAATATGACCAAACTAAAGATGATTTACAAAAATATGACTAGTGACTAGAGTAGTAATGAAATCATAGTAATGAATAGTCATATTTACGTAAATATGTTTTATTTTAGTAATATGTTTGCAAAAAAACCCGAAGTATATTACTCTGTATTGCATTTATAGAGTATACTACCTCCATCCCTTTTTTATTGGGATGAAAGAGGGTGGCACAAGTTTTAAGAAAAGTGAATTTGTTTGGTTGATATTAATTGATAAAGTAAGAATAAAGTAAGAATGATTTTGAGTCATTCAAACTTCACCAAATAAGTTATGAGACAATTAAATAGGACATCCCAATATGATAAAACGGGACATTTAAAGGGGGACGGAAGGAGTATATGTTTGTGCGAGTGACGTAAGTTTATGACTTAGTTGAATAATTGATGTTCACCATTGTTTCGATTTCAATCGTTGTTTGTGTTTTTTTTTCTCAATAGAGTAAGAAGTTGTTCTCTTCACCTGATCTGAATGTTTCTGATATGAATTTCTTAAGTTCTGATCTGATCTGATCTGAATTTTTCTGATCTGATCTGATCTGAATCTTTCTGATCTAATCTGATATGATTAATCTTTCTAATCTGGTCTGATCTGATCTGAATGTTTCTGATCTGATTAGATCTGAATCTTTCTGATCAGATTTGAATATTTCTATAATTATATTTATAATTGTAATTACAAATATAACGTAAATAAAATTATAATTATAATCATAATTATAAAAAACTATAATTATAATTAAAATTAAATTTTAAATTATAATAGTTATACCAATTACACTAATTATAACTATATATACAATTATAAATGTAATTATATTTTTAATTATAATTACTTATATAATTATTATTGTAATTATAATTATAATATTTATTTCTATAATTACAATTATAACTATAATTATAAATAGAAATATAATTACTCCTTATAATAATAATTACACCGATAATAACAATAATAATAATAATAATAATTATTATTATTATTATATTATTATATTATAACAATAATAATATTATAATAAGAAAATATATTATTATTATTATTATTATAACAATAATAATATAATAATAAAATTATTATTATTATAATTATTATAATACTCCGTATAATAATATAATATTATTACTATTGTTATATTATTATTATTATTATTACTATTATTATTATTATATTAATACATTATATTATTATTATGATATTATAATAATAATAATAATAATAATAATAATATTATTCTTATTATTATTATATTAGTATATTATTATTAATATTATTAACAATAATTATAATATAATAATTATAATAGTAATAATTATAATTAATATAATAATAAAAGTGATAAATCATGTTTGAATTTTTCTGATCAGATCTGAATGTTTGTGATCTGGTCTGATCTGATCTGAATCTTTCTGATCTGGTCTGATGTTTCTAATCTGATCTGATCTGATCTGAATAAAATAAGAATAAGGAATAAGTAATAAGATTAAGACGAAGAGAACCGCTTCTAAATCTAATACGGAGTATGTAGTACAAAGTATTTATTTTAACTGTTCATTTTGATACTTGTATATTTAGAAGCTGTTCCGTTCGTCTTAATCTTATTACTTATTCCTTAATCTTATTTTATTCAGATCAGATCAGATCAGATCAGAAAGATTCAGATCAGATCAGATCAGATCAGAAAGATTCAGATCAGATCAGATCAGATCAGAAACATTCAGATCAGATCAGAAAGATTCAGATCAGATCAGCAACATTCATATCAGATCAGAAAGATTCAGATCAGATCAGACCAGATCAGAAACATTCAGACCAGATCAGAAACATTCAGATCAGATCAGGTCAAAAAATTCAAACATGATTTATCACTTTTATTATTATATTAATTATGATTATTATATTATAGTTATTGTTAATAATATTAATATATTAATACAATAATATTATTAATAATAATATAATAATAATGTTAATAATATAAAATTATTATTATATTATAATAATATAATATAATATAATATAATATAATATAATATAATATAATATAATATAATATAATATAATATAATATAATATAATATAATATAATATAATATAATATAATATAATATAATATAATATAATATAATATAATATAATATAATATAATATAATATAATATAATATAATATAATATAATATAATATAATATAATATATTTATAATTATAATTATGATTTACAATGTAATTATAATTATAATCATCATTATTATTATTAATATGATTGTTGTTCTTGTTGTTATTGTTGTAATTATTATTACTTCGGAGTAATTATATATTTAAATTAGTAATTATAGACATAATTATGACTATAGAAATAAATATTATAATTATAATTAAAATAATAATAATTATAAAATTAATCATAATTAAAAATATAATTACATTTATAATTGTATCTGTATTTATAATTAGTGTAATTGGTATAATTATTATAATTTTAAATTTAATTTTAATTATTATTTTTTTATAATTATGATTATAATTGTAATTTTATTTAAGTTATATTTTTAATTACAATTATAAATCTAATAATTATAATTGTAATTACAATTACAATTATAGAAATATTCAAATCAGATCAAAGAGATTCAGATCAGAAGAATTCAGATCAGATCAGAAACATTCAGATCAGATCAGATCAGAAACATTCAGATCAGTTCAGCAACATTCAGATCAGATCAGAAAGATTCAGATCAGATCAGAAAGATTCAGATCAGATCAGATCAGATCAGAAAGATTCAGATTAGATCAGATCAGATCAGAAAGATTCAGATTAGATCAGATCAGAACTTAAAAAATTCAGATCAGAAACATTCAGATCAGGTGAACGGAACAGCTTCTTACTGTGATCAACTAATTGAATATTGAATATTTTTTTTGCTTCACTACCTCTATTCCTTGTCTTTTAATTTTTTGTTTGAACTGTGACTGTTCCGATTCGTGTTCATATTAGTGAAATCTTTGCACTTTTATTCGGCCTATATACTGTGTGTACACATTGATTCTCAAAATTAATTCAAACCTGTGAATCCGTCTGTTTTTTTGTAAACAGAATGGGAGACGAATGAAACATCACTTTTCCAAAAGTTTCACCGCTCACTACCGTCCATATCAGTTTTCTCGCGGGGAGAAACCTAGCAAATTCAACAATCATGATTTCAAACGTTGGCAACAGAAAATGATGTTTTATTTAACAACGTTGAATTTGGCTAAGTGTCTCTCCGAAAGCCAACCTATTTTAGAGGAAGGCGAGACTGATAAGGAGAAAGTATTCGCGGTGGATGCGTGGAAGTATTCAGATTTCTTGTGTAGAAATTATCTCTTAAACAGGCTCGATGACTCCTTATACTCCGTATATGCCGATATCAAGACGGCAAAAGAATTGTGGGGATTACTTGAGAAAAATACAAGATCGAGGATGCCGAAAAAAAAAGAAATTTATTGTCGGTCATTCTTGGACTTTAAAATGTGACCGGGCTAAACTTGCAAGTATACAAGTGCCGATATAGTAATAAAATACCGGTAAATACCGGGTCGATCCACAGGGAAATGGTTGATATTATAAAGTCGAGTATTGAATGCAAAGAATGTAAATGATATTTTTTTTTTCCAGGAACTTTGCTCTTTGAGATTGGTTTAAACAAGAATGAGAATTACTAAGGCAATCGGGATTCACCTAAATGCTTTAATAGGATTTAATACTAGTTCTTTTCCAATAATTATGAATACGATGTCGCTAATATATTCTCAACTCCGGTTAAGGCAGCGAGAGCGTGGTTTTCGTTACGTGTAAGTCCCGTTACGGCTTACATTCATCTACCGAAAACCCCGTTGAATATCAAGACATCACACCCGTATCATATAAGACCGGATATATTTCTATTCTCGGTACTATATATGTTTATCCTTTAGTGTTCATAGTTTAGACTTCAACGTTAATTGCAAGCATAAACTAAGTTTAACATACTTCTATGTTGTACACCATAGTCATAAACAATCAAAATATAAAGGATAAATCACAATTTATTGGTCTAGAACTTTTATCAAACACCTAGTGTGCATAGAGGTTCATCCCTAGCCTTAGCTAAGAAATTAGCCTCTAATGCTCATATTAATCACAATACAATATTGAAATGTAATGGAACATGAAATTACAAAGGAAATAATACCTAAACACCAATGGTTTCGGAGGTTGAAGTTTCCTCCTCAAGAACTTGAAGAAAAATAGCAAAAACAAAGTATAAAGACTAAGAATTAATCTATGGAATGGAATGACATTGCTTGATGCATTAAGGGCTTTATATAGGCTAAAGAATGGCATCTTTTAGTCTATTCAAGCCTAACAATCGGGTATGGAAGCAATATTTGATCAGATATGGAGGAAGATGGGTTTTTCCCATCAGAAATCTTCTGCACATCGGACTGTTTTAGCAGGAAATCGGAACAACCGGCGCCGGTTATAGCATGTCCGGCGCCGGTCGGGTGCAAAAATGCACCGGTTGTGCTGCGCCGGTTGGAAACAGGCCCGAATTGGGCAAAAAGTCCTGACGACCGGCGCCGGTTATAGGGCATCCGGCGCCGGTCCCTGCGCCCAATTTTGTACTTCGCTTCTTTTCTTCGTTTGATGCCCGAAATTGATCCCGAAGTGCCGGTTTTCGATCCCTTTTGACTTTTGACCCTATTTTCATTGCTCCATGTCGTATTTCGTGTTTCCGCTAACTCGAGAACATTTATCTGTTTTTGCTTCATATTTTTGTACAGATAAATGTAATTACTTATGTAAAACATAAGTAATTATTGTGCTTATCAAATTCCCCCACACTTGAGCGTTGCTAGTCCTCGAGCAATGTTGTCGCCTTTTGATGCCTTGGTTAGTTCAATAAAAATATATGCATAAAAATAAATTATTTTAAGAGAGGTAAAAAAAATGTTTGTAAACTCTTTTTTCGTTCTCGGTCCAAAACCCATTTTTCTATTAAACACAAAAAAATATCATTAGATTTAGAAAAATTACTTATACTCTTGAGAGGAGATGAATGGATTGTGACTAGGACTTTTGGGGGTGTAGGATGGCTTTTTGATGTATTTGACTTTTCAGTATAGAAGTGGATCAGTTGAAATTCTTGAAAGAGATCATGAGTTTTTTTTTTTTTTTAAACTCATTTGAATTGGTTCTCAACAAGCATTTACTGAAAGTCATTTTGATCATCCCAATTTATTTGATGGGATATGAGGGTGGCTTGTTTTCCAAAACGGTTCTTGAATATTTGAGATGTACTTAAACCATTGTTGGAAATGAAAGAAGATGGTGTTCCTAATCACAAGAGTTCTTTTGGAAGTGGTTTTCAAGAGTAAAAGGTAGTGTAATAAATCTAAAAAAAAAATGATATTTTTATGTGAATAAAAAAAAAACTTTCTCAACCAAATACCCATTAAAAAGAGAAATAACATAATTTTTACCTTCCCTAAAAAAAATATTTTGCACACAAAATTTGTTTAGCTACCCTTGAGATGCACCCCCCACACTTAAGATACATTGTCCCAATGTATAAATCATAGGAGCATAAAACTTCAATCACCATCCACAAAACATGTGTTTAGAGAAGAGTATGTCATATGAAATAACAAGAATGGGAGTTTAATTTTGTGGATCGGGAGGGGGGTGTCCAAATTGACCATAGTAGTGTTGGGTGAATTGCCCAAACCTTCGGTCAATGCGGTCCAAATGCTCTTCCACCCTGGTTTGACGGGTACGGAGGTCCTCTTGGTTAGCCTCGTACAAGTTCATCCTCGTATGCATACGGTCCATGGAGTCAACAATATAATCAATGCCCTGTGCCATGGTTCGCCGTGGCCGGGCTGCGGGTTGTGCGGCAGCTTCTCCCATCTCTTCGTCGCCGTTCTCTTCCTTGCGAACCCATGCATCACCCACCTTTTTGAATTGGAGGGACACCATAGTGCTTGGCCTCAAAATTTGGGCTGCGGCGGTGTACTCCACTTCTTCATTACTAAGATCGACGCCAAAACTCCTGAAAATCATCGTGAGTAAAAGAGGATAAATAAAGTTTTTATCACCTCTTTTAGTTTTGACGACGCCCCTCATTTCAGTCATGATGAGAGGGGCCAAAGGAATGCCCTCGATTTCTCCAAGTCCGTTCATCATTTTGTGCATGAGGTAGAGGTCCAACCGCCGAAGCACATGCGTGTCACTAGCTCTTGGCAAGATGTTGAAACTCAAAAGGTATGCAATTAGTCTCTCTCGGGGTTCAAGAACACGGGCCTTAAGCTCCTCATCGAAACCATAGTCGTTCATGACATCAATCTCGTTGTAGGCGGGGTCGGTGAGCACCACTACAGAGTTCATTTCAACCGGACGACCAACGTTGGGGATACGAAGCAAGTTGCACAATCTTTGTTTGCTAATGGTGATTTTTGTGCCTTTAACAGTGCTCACAATATCCCCATACGGGTCCATTTTCCTCTCAATATTGGCATAGAACTCCCGTACAAGCGTCGGGTAGAATGCCCCAGTCAGAGTGAGCATGACGGCCCATCCCAATTTGTTAAAAGCGTCGGAGAGTTGATAGAGAGCTTCGATCTCCGGGTGCACGGTCTTTTCAATCACAATTTTCCACTTCTTCCTTTGATCGTACCAAGCCTCATTCTCCGGGGAGGTGAAACGTGGTACGGATGAAGAGGAAGAAGTAGCATCATTTCGTCGTTTAGGAGCCATGGAACCTGCACAATTAGTTCAACACATGCATGCAACACAATATTCGTCATCAATCCAAGGTAAGGTTTCAAAAAGTTCTTTAATTTCTTCAAATTTCATGTTCATTCAAGGATTCTTGCAACAATCATGTTTAGAGGATTCTATATTAACAACAAGTCGTATCAATATATCTCTAAACATCAATTATAAAAGGAATTCACCCAAGAACAAGAATTTCAACATTAGGGTTCTTGGGAAAATTTTTCAAGAATTTCCCCCAAATTTGAACTTTAATCTCACAAACTTGAACAAGAATCATGTTTATATATACCAAATGAGTTCAAGGAACAAACATTCAACACTTATAACATATATTTTGCCAAAATTTGTAAGAGAGAAAAGATTTGAAGAAATTTGGGTTTAGAGCCAAAATACCTTGAATTGATGCTCAAAGAGTGATGAAGAAGCCTCTAGAGGTGATGTTTGATGTAAAACCGAAACTTTTGGGGAGAATTTTGAGCTTGGGGCGGCGGATTTGGGTGGTTTGGGGTGGTGGCCGGGCGTTTAGCTCTTAAGGTTTGGGGTGGTATTCGAAAAGTGAGTTTTTTTAGCGGGTTGGGGCTGTTTTAATCGCAGAGACCGGCGCCGGTTGTCAGGCGTCCGGCGCCGGATGTCCCAATTTGATGCGCCCCGGACTTTCTGTTTCGGACCGGGGCCGGTTGCTTCTGACCGGCGCCGGTCTTTCCGTAAAATTTATTTATTTATTTATTTTTCCTTTTCAATTATAAATAAAATATGCCTATTTTTAAATGAACATAATTAGTTATAATTTGTTAAATTATAAATAATAATGAATATTTGTGTAGCTAAGCATATTTCTTTATAATTGAAATTTTATGTTGGGTTGCCTCCCAATTAGCGCTCAGTTTAACGTCGTAGGCTGGACGCAACGTACCTTTTTACTCCTCCAATGGGCAAGCGGTGGTTGCCGAGGTGATATGATACTCCATGTATGGCTTGAGTCGGTGACCATTTACAAGAAATGGTGTTTGGTCACCCTTTTGAATCATCATTGACCCGTATGGTCGGACCTCGGTGATTGTGAACGGTCCCGACCATCGGGATTTTAGCTTTCCGGGAAAAAGGCGAAGTCTAGAGTTGAAGAGTAGTACTTTTTGGCCGACGTAGAAGTCCCTCCGGTTGATGTTTTTGTCATGCCAAGCTTTTGCCCTTTCCTTGTAGATGCGGGAATTCTCATATGCATCCCTTCGGAGTTCTTCAAGTTCCGCCATTTGGAACATCCTTCTTTTCTTTGAGAGTGTAGGATCAAGGTTTAGCTTGGAGAGTGCCCAATGTGCTTTGTGCTCAAGTTCCACGGGGAGATGACATGATTTTCCATAGACAAGTCGGTATGGTGACATGCCCAACGGTGTTTTGTAAGCCGTCCGATATGCCCACAGCGCATCATCTAACTTTACCGCCCAATCTTTTCTAGAAGTGGCGACTGTCTTTTCTAGAATTGATTTAATCTCTCGGTTGGACACTTCAACTTGCCCATTAGTTTGTGGATGATAGGCTGCTCCGGTTCGGAAATTGCACCCATATTTCTTTAGCAAGCTAGAAAAATGGGCATTCTTGAAATGTGTGCCATTGTCACTTATGATGGTATGGGGCACACCAAACCGTGAGAAAATGTTTTTCTTCACGAACTCCCCCACACTTTTACTAGTGTTGTCGGGTAGAGCTATCGCCTTCACCCACTTGGAGACGTAGTCCACGACTACAAGGATATAGCTCTTCCCATATGAGTTAGGGAAAGGTCCCATGAAGTCCAATCCCCATACATCAAAAAGTTCTACCACAAGGATCATGTTTTGAGGCATTTCATTCCTCCGGCTAAGATTTCCGGTTCTTTGACATCGGTCACAAGCTTTCACATAACTCCTTGCATCTTTGAATAATGTTGGCCAGAAAAGACCACATTGGAGGACCTTCGCTGCCGTCCGATCCGGACCATGGTGACCACCACAAGGAAGGTTGTGACAATGGTTTAAGACGGACATGATTTCCTCATCGGGTACGCATCTTCTAACAATTCCGTCGGCACAATGTTTGAAGAGATATGGTTCATCCCAATAGTAATGCTTTACATCACTTAGGAATTTTTTTCTTTGATGGAAAGTGAGTGATGGAGGTATAATTTCTTTTGCAAGAAAATTAACAAAATCAGTGAACCATGGTAGTTGTACCTCTTTGATTGCCATGATTTGCTCATATGGGAAATCATCTCTTATCTCCTCTTCCTTGGGGTTGGGGGTGCCTTCAAGTCGTGAAAGATGATCCGCCACAAGGTTTTCACACCCCTTCTTGTCTCGGATTTCAAGGTCAAATTCTTGGAGTAATAAAACCCAACGAATTAACCTTGGTTTGGCATCCTTCTTGTTCATGAGGTATTTGATGGCGGAGTGATCGGTATAAACAATCACTTTCTGGCCAATGAGGTAAGATCGGAATTTGTCAAAAGCATAAATGACGGCTAGAAATTCCTTCTCGGTGGTGGCATAATTGAGCTCCGCATCATGAAGTAACCTCGATGCATAGTATATGGCATGAAGTTTCTTTTCTTTTCTTTGCCCAAGTACCACACCGATAGCATGATCACTAGCATCACACATCAATTCGAATGGAAGAGACCAATCCGGTGATGTAATAATAGGGGCCGAGGTAAGAGCTTCCTTTAAAGTGTTGAAAGCTTTGAGCCGAGTTGGAGTGATTTCAAAAGGGGCATCCTTGGCTAATAAATCGCATAGAGGTTTAGCGATTTTTGAGAAATCTTTAATGAATCGCCGATAGAAACCGGCATGCCCTAGAAAGCTTCGGATAGCTTTCACCGAATGTGGAGGGGGTAGCTTCTTTATGACTTCAATTTTTGCTTGGTCGACTTCAATGCCTTTGGGAGAAATTTTGTGCCCCAAGACAATCCCCTCGGTTACCATGAAATGGCATTTCTCCCAATTGAGAGCCAAGTCGGTTTCCTCACACCGAGTTAGCACTTTCTCAAGGGAAAGTAAGCACGTGTCAAAAGAATCCCCAAAAACAGAAAAGTCATCCATAAATACCTCCATGAAGTCTCCCACCATGTCCGCAAAAATTGCCATCACACATCTTTGGAATGTCCCGGGGGCATTGCATAACCCGAATGGCATCCTTCTATAGGCAAATGTGCCAAAAGGACATGTGAATGTTGTCTTTTCTTGGTCCTCGGGTGAGATAGCTATTTGAAAATAGCCGGAGAACCCATCCAAGAAACAAAAGAACTCATTTCCCGCAACACGCTCTAGCATCTCATCCATGAATGGAAGGGGAAAGTGGTACTTCCTTGTGCCGGAGTTCAATTTCCGGTAGTCTATGCACATCCTCCAACCGGTGACCATTCTAGTAGGAATTAATTCATTCTTACTATTGGCTACCACCGTGATTCCACCCTTTTTTGGAACGACTTGAACGGGGCTTACAAATTTACTATCCGAAATGGGGTAAATTATGCCATAGTCAAGGAGTTTGAGAACTTCCTCCTTAACTACCTCTTTCATGTTGGGGTTTAGCCTCCTTTGATGCTCCACCGTGGGTTTATGATTCTCCTCCATAAAAATCCGGTGCATACAAAGAGAAGGGCTAATACCTTTAATATCCGCCAAGGACCATGCAATAGATGTTTTGTGGTCCTTCAATACCCGTAGTAATTTTTCTTCTTGAAGAGACGTGAGTGAAGAAGAAATTACTACCGGGAAAGTTGAGTTGTCTCCAAGAAATGCATATTTGAGGTGCTCCGGTAAAGTTTTCAAAGATGGTTTTGGTGGAACCTCAAGAGATGGTTTTAATGTGGACTTACTTGTTCCAAGATCTTCAAACTTTTGTCGGAATTGTTTGAAAGGAGCTCCAGCTTGTAAGTACATAACTTCCTCAAGAAGTTCATGGCTTTCTTCTTTTTCATTGCATCCTAGCATGATGCAAGTCTCCAAGTGGTCTTCATGAATGATTTTCCCAAAACACTCTTTAGCCAATGTGTCAAGAATATCAATGCTAAAGCAAGAAGAGTCATCATGGTGCTTTTTCAAGGAATCCCAAACATGGAACTCTTGTTCTTCATCTCCAACACGGAATTTGACAATTCCATTTTTTACATCAATAAGGGCGGCTGCAGTGGCTAGAAATGCCCTTCCAAGAATAATAGGGATCTCCATTTCCTCCATTTCCAAGATAAGAAAATCCACCGGAAAGTAGAATTTCCCAACTTTAACAAGAACGTCCTCCATAACTCCAATAGGGTAGCGAATTGATCTATCCGCAAGTTGTAAGGCTATGGTGGTTGATTGAAGTCCCCCCACACCAAGCTTTTTAAATAAAGAGTGGGGCATGAGGTTGATACTAGCACCAAGATCACAAAGGGATCTTACCTCTCCAATCTTGCCAATAGAACATGGCACCGTGAAGCTTCCGGGTCCTTCAATTTAGGAGGGAGTTTGTTTTGTAGGATGGCACTACACTCCTCCGTGAGGGCAATGGTAGCAAATTCTGCCAATTTCTTTTTATTTGAGAGTATGCCCTTCAAGAATTTGGCATAAGATGGAATCTCCGCTATCGCTTCGGCAAATGGAATGTTGATGCTCAATGTAGTAAAAATATCAAGGAATTTTCTATATTGAGCACCATCATTCTTTTTCTTCAATCTTTGAGGATATGGAATGGGAGGAACATAGTTAGCCATATTGGATGGTGGCATCATATGTTCCTCATCTCCACCTTTGTTTTGCTTTTTCGGGGTCTCCTCCTCTTCCGGCATCTTCGGGTCCTCCGTCGTCTTACCACTCCTTGTGGTAATGGCCATCACGTTCTCCCTTGGGTTCATCTCCGTGGTTGTAGGAAATTTGCCTTGCTCCCTTGAACTTACTTTTTGAGCAAGTTGTCCCATTTGTACCTCAAGATTCCGAATGGATGCCTTGTTGTATTGCTCAATGGTGTCAATGCGTTGGTTGAGCTTCATATTTTGATCTTCAAATCGAAGATCCAACTTGGTGAATTGAGAGTGGAGATTCCCAATGGATGCCTCCACTCTATGATGATTTTCCTCATTTTGGGCCTTCATGCTTGCCATGCTTTTGGACATGAATTGCATCATATCCTCCATGGTAGTCTCCTTGGGTTGCCCAAAATTAGGTGCTCCGGATTGGGGTTGTGAGGAACTAGTTTGTGGCTTCCACCTTTGTTGATTTGAATAGTTATTGTTCCCCCGATTCCCATAGGAGTTCATATAATTTACCTCTTCAAGTTGTTGAGATAAATCACTTTCCGGGTTCGGTATGCTCTCCACGTTGGCTATTTGTTTGACTCCTCCCAATACGGCTTGTAGAGCCGTTTGGAACTTTTGCTCAATCTTTGATTCCATTTCTTCAAGCCTTTTGTTTATCTCCGTCGTGATAGAGATTTCATTAATCCCTACCACTTTGTAATCACCTCCTTGGAGTTGAGGATTCGAAGCAATGGATTCAATGATTCGGAGTGCTTCGGTTTCATTCTTGTTCCCAATATAGCCCTCGGCTCGGTTGTCCACGATGGCTTGACAAGATGCGTTCAAGCCATTGTAGAATGTGTCAATTTGAAGGTCTAGGGGAATGCGGTGATGTGGGCATTCCCTTAGCAATGATTTGAAACGCCGCCATGCATCTTGAAAGAGCTCACCATTTTGTTGTTTGAAATTGAAAATGCGTTGTCTAAGCTCTTGAGTCATGGTGGGCGTGTAGTATTTAGACATGAAGGCATTGTATATACCTTCCCATGTAGTGTAGCTTGCCGGGGCTTGTTCTAGGAACCATCCTCTTGCTGCCCCTTTGAGAGTATAGGGGAAGCATTTGAGCTTGAGATCATCTTCGGCTAGCTTGTTCCTTGGAATTCCTTGGATGAACCCATAGAACTCCGTGATAAAGTTCAATGGATTCTCCCCCAATTTGTGACACCGCACCCGAATGTCCTTGGAGATTTGATTTAAATATTCAAAGTTTATGTATTGGATTTCTGATTCCCAAACAATTGTAAAACGATTAATGTTTTACGTAATGAATGATCGAATATTGTACGGTTTAAACTCGTATATTAGTGTCGGACATACAAATACTATTTGGGACTTATTAATAGATAAGGGAGCCCAACATTTTCCAAATAGTAATACACGACCTTTCAAGACAATTTGAGGAAGGTCGGGCGGCCCAAACATTATTTTGGGCCCAACCTGCTAAAAATAGCAAGTATTCGAGAATGGCGTTCTAAACCCACTCGGGAGTGACCCACACGGCTAGTAGCCCAATGATACGTATGACAAATGTAAAATAAGTGATTGAATGATTAAGGAAGAATACAAATGCCTATAACCCCACCTTTGGCCTTATTGAGCTAAATAATGGGAGTAGGATTTTCCTTCTATAATATCCATCAAGTAAATTATTGGGATGAGCCTACACATATTGGAGATCAATAATGTGATTTAAGAAGTTGACTTGTTCTAAATAAATTAGGATGAGTACAAAAAGACATCTTTTGACAAAGATAAAACAATAGGACCCATTTTCCCCATTTTTGGAAGTATTGGTAGATAATTTGGATCCCCAAAATGATTGGGATCAATTGGGAACCACTCCACATGATATTAGTACCTGCAAGACAAATAAAAATGGGTTAGGAGACTTACCTTGGCCGGCCATTATGGAGAAGAGCTGCACATGACTTGATAAGAATCAAAGTTTGGGCCACCACTCTTATTTTCGCACAAATTGGTGTGCTGTTTGTCTCCTCTCATTATAGGAGCTATCCTCAACCAAATAACGTGTATGAGGTGTCCTTGGATAGCCCTTGAAGTGTAGTTTCATAATTGAGTGGTCTTTGTTCGAGGAGAGAGAGCTTATCTTACAAAAATCGAGCTGGAGGGAGTGGTGGTCTGTGAACTCGAGCTGTGAGAGTGCTGAGACTGTTTGGTTGATATCTCAAGTTTTACCAATCCAATTAAGGCGTGTGAGATACCAAAAGAAAGATCTCAAGACGAGGAATCCGTGAAGGTCTGGTTTGCATCAATCGGAGTAGAGGAAGGCTTCCAAATCGTCCGAGCAAAACACAACCTCGCAGAAACGGATTTACTCTTCTAAAGTGAGTTGTTAACCCCAAATCCTTTCCATTCATTTTCCAAATGATATGGACGATTGGTGGGACTATTGTACACTAATCCAAGTGTATAATATGTCCTTGAAAAGTTATTTTATTGATGTAAAGGTTAGATACTAACCTAGAGCAAATATTGGAAAACTAGGAATCGAGTTAGCCGGAAAACACCCGTTCTAGGGGCTGTTTTCGTATCAACGATTAGGGGTTGAAATAGCAACTTGAGGAAGCTGTTTAACACCCATTTTCAAGCAAGGAACCAGTTCTCAATCTTCCTTGGCCGAGGCTTTGGTCATTGGATCGAGAAGGAAGGCTTTAAAGCTCATTTGAGGTGAGGACCGACATCTAGTTGCTTACAACTTGTAGGTTATGCATAAGATTACCTAAATGCTTGAATCATGTTTTTGTGAATAAATATGCTTGAACATGATATGAATGATAAGTAATGGACTTGATCATGAATTGAAACCATATTGATGAATATGGAGTTATGTGAGATAAAAGTATGTTAATATGGTAAAATGACCTTTCCAACTCATGTATGAATGTTATGTGTATGTAAATGTATAATTGCATGATGATGCTTAGCACATGGGAGGCTGCCACATATCTATTGATATGGAGGGGCTACCATTAAGAATAAATGAGTTGTAGGAATAATCTTAATAGTATTGTGATGCTAGTTAAGGATTGTTCTAAATGTTGATAGAATCAAACTTAAGGTTTGAGTTGTTTGTGATGAACTTGAATAAGATTCAAGTGTCAAGTGTGATTTCATGGAGTAGGAGATCTATGGTGTGATTGTATGAAGTAGGAGATCTACGGTGTGATTGTATGAAGTAGGAGATCTATGGGGTGAATACATGAAGTAGGAGATCTACGATATGATTACATGAAGTAGGAGATCTATGATGCGAGTGCATGATGATGTACTCGAGCCGAACTCTAGAAATGAGAAGTTATGTTAGGGTTGGACCCTACGTATGTCGTGACCATGGGTCACGGGGTTTTGGGACAATGTTTTGTAATAAACATGGGCCTTTGAGCCGACTACTTGACTTTATATAAAGTAAGTATATATTTTGAAAGGGTAATTTGGGATTACAGCCTAAACTATATTATCACCCTATTTGAGGGTCTTGTGTGTGAAATACTTGTTGTATATCTATTAGATGCCTGCCACACCAGTACTTTATAGCCGTATAGAGTACTGACCCCTTCGGGGGCGTCCCACCACCATTTCAGGTTGAGGCTAGAGCTTGCTTCCTGTGCTCGTTGATCGAGAGATTCCTAGGAGAGAAGACTTGGTTCGTGCTTCCTCCATTCTATTTGAAACATTAATAAATTTGCTCATGGATATTTTACTATAGAGCCTGCGTGCTCATGAATAGCCCTGTGTGGCCCCTTTTGTTTTAAACAATGTTTTCCGCTGCGTTATGAATTACTTATTATGGTTGTTTATGGATGTATATGTGTGAATGATATTCAAGACGCCTTGTATAATATGAATGTGTTGGACTGCGGTTGACTATTCGTATTGTACGGCGGGTTGTTGACGCGTCCGGATAGGTCCGGGGCGTGACACAATTGACCATGAAACTGAGGCATAGCATTGAAGTAGCTTTGCTTTAGTTCATAGTCCCTCGCATCTTCGCTTAGCACAATGCAAGAGGGGGAGGTTGCAACAACGGGCCTCTTCCGTTCGTTGAGTGTGGGCATCATCTTTGTGGCTTTTTGCTCCTTCCGAATGTGTTTGCAAGTTTTTTCTATTTCAAGATCAAGTGGTTCAAGAAATTTAGAACCTCGACTTCTCAAATGCATGCAAACACAAAGGAATATCTACACACACACAAAAATAAACCCTTCCAAGATCAAGTGAAGTAGTGAAAAATAAATAAATAAAATAAATTCAGGATTTTTGATTGTTTGGACTTTATTAAACAAGACCGTTTCCCCGGCAACGGCGCCAAAAACTTGACCGGGCTAAACTTGCAAGTATACAAGTGCCGATATAGTAATAAAATACCGGTAAATACCGGGTCGATCCACAGGGAAATGGTTGATATTATAAAGTCGAGTATTGAATGCAAAGAATGTAAATGATATTTTTTTTTCAGGAACTTTGCTCTTTGAGATTGGTTTAAACAAGAATGAGAATTACTAAGGCAATCGGGATTCACCTAAATGCTTTAATAGGATTTAATACTAGTTCTTTTCCAATAATTATGAATACGATGTCGCTAATATATTCTCAACTCCGGTTAAGGCAGCGAGAGCGTGGTTTTCGTTACGTGTAAGTCCCGTTACGGCTTACATTCATCTACCGAAAACCCCGTTGAATATCAAGACATCACACCCGTATCATATAAGACCGGATATATTTCTATTCTCGGTACTATATATGTTTATCCTTTAGTGTTCATAGTTTAGACTTCAACGTTAATTGCAAGCATAAACTAAGTTTAACATACTTCTATGTTGTACACCATAGTCATAAACAATCAAAATATAAAGGATAAATCACAATTTATTGGTCTAGAACTTTTATCAAACACCTAGTGTGCATAGAGGTTCATCCCTAGCCTTAGCTAAGAAATTAGCCTCTAATGCTCATATTAATCACAATACAATATTGAAATGTAATGGAACATGAAATTACAAAGGAAATAATACCTAAACACCAATGGTTTCGGAGGTTGAAGTTTCCTCCTCAAGAACTTGAAGAAAAATAGCAAAAACAAAGTATAAAGACTAAGAATTAATCTATGGAATGGAATGACATTGCTTGATGCATTAAGGGCTTTATATAGGCTAAAGAATGGCATCTTT